CAAAACGAGAGCGAACGAGCGAGAGGCAGAGGGATTTCAAATTCACAAAATCCCCGTCAACATTGCCGAAAATGTCCATTCACACATATGCTTTTGCGGCACTCGGCATGAACTGGCTGCAAAAACCGAACAAAACTATTGGAGGTATTTCTTGTTTGAAAGAACATGGGCATTGTAAGGGTGACCAAAAGAAGTGTGGCCACTATGAGACCACGGGCCGAGGTGTGTATATGCGGGCTTACGCGTGTAAGAGTTTCCGCAAATAATTTATGACTTTCGGCATTTCGCTTGTCTTTTTAATAAAACAATCCCTTTTGTTTTCCTCTTAATCTGACAAAGCGCTCCACTATGAAATATTATTGCTCGTTTTTCGCTGTGCAAAGCGCATTTTCTCTCTCTCTCTCCCTCCTTCTCTTTCTATCTTTTCTTCTCAACTATTTTTCTCGTTTTACATGTGTAGCACAGACCGCGTCCACTTTCGACTGTGCCGATCGCACAACGATCAAATTGCCCATGAACCATCATAATCTATGAATTTCATAAACGATAAATTGAATGCACGCACCGCCTATGGTTATGCCTTTGCCGAAAATTCGTTTGCCCAACTTCCCATTGGCGCTTCGCATCAATCAGCCCAAATTCACGGTGAATGCATTTTAAATTATGGAAACATTTCCCAGAATTTCCATTATCTAATTGGCTATTCACAAATGCAGAAAAAAAAGAGAAGGAAACAGTTTGGTAAAAACCACTTCGCCAACACTGGATAATACCAAATTTAATGAGTTTTGATTTTTTTTTATTCGTTCGCAAGAAAGTACAGCAAAATAGAAAAATTCCAACACTCTTCCTCACACACACACACACACACACACAAACACATAGAAAATCATTCGAACGAAGCACAAGCTTTTAGCTGAAAGCCTTTACAATCAAAGTGAAAAGTGCAAAACTTTTTTTTTTCATCCAAAAAGGGTTTCCCAACCAAGAACGATGTGGGAGGATGGGAGAGAAAGAAATAACAGACAGAGAGTAGGCACTTTGTGGAAAACGACGGCGCAGCCATAGATGCAGCATCTATAGATGTTGTGGCGGCCGTAGTGAGCATTATTTTATCACATAATGGGAATCATACAGAGCATAACTTGTTGGCATTTCCTATCAATGGCACCAAGAGAGAAGAAAAAACAGCGCACACACACGAAAAACTTATAAAACATTTTCTAATAAGTTTTCTTCAGTTGGCTTTGTTGTTGTGCAGTAAATAAAAATTTATTACTTTTGAATTTTCTGTAAAGGTTAGCAGAGCATCTTTTGACTTTTTTCCATTGAGTTTTCATAATACTTCTTATTTCTCTACATTTTTGGTTGTTGTTGTTGCGCCGTTGTTGATTTTGTTTCCGTTATTTCGCTGCATCGTACGGTTTATCCTGTTTTCTTTATATGAAATTAAATATATTTTCGGCCAGCTTACGGCTTTTGGTACATTCCAGAATTTTAGAATACCAAGACTTGAATGTTTACAGCATCTGCATGCATTTTTTACAGCAACACCGGAGTGAATGTTGCTGTTTTTTTCGCCGGTGAACACTGTCATTTTCGAAATGTATGCGGAAGGTAGAAACACACAAACACACATACAATGCATCGCCAAATATTGTTGAGCCTTGCGATGGGGCAGTACTATAGATATAGAAACTGGATTGTGGATCAATGAATTTCATACATTTGTAAGTGATTCACGCCAATTCTTGTGATACCATCACTTGACTTAGTGATTATTTAGTGAATTCAGAAACTTTTTTTCCTTTGCCACGTTTGTTTTTTGTTCGATGCCAAAAATATATTCGACGAAAAAAAGCCAATGGAAAAAAGACGTGAGTTTTCTCGTTTCGTTTTTTGTGAATTTCATAGAGTGACTTTGCCACTTTAGCCGACAAAACCTCATCTATTTTTAATGATGGAAATCGCTAGGGCACAAAAATGCCAATATCCTTGCGGAGCACAGCTAATGCAGTAGTTTGCCAATGCAATAAATGTATTCGCATTTTTTTTGTCGAACGAAAAAGAAGTAATTGCAACGAATTTAGTGTGTGTTGTGCGGATTTTGAGTGCGAATGGCAAATATCAAAAGATATTCTTCTGTTTTTGTTGTGAATTGCACAATGTTTCTTCGCCGATATGACTGTGATGTAAGTTTGCGATGTACTACGGTTTGAGCGCGTACTCGATGCACATACGCACAACACACATATTTCCGCTTATCACAAATATTCCAAGCATTTTTGGTGCATTTCGGACAGATCAACGACAATGACATTTCAAATGAAAAATAGAATCACAAGTGGAATAAACCGATAAATTGTATGGGAAAAAATCGCTTGGATGCACCACTGGCTGTATAAAGTACAATGATAGAGAGAGAGAGAGAGAATAAGAGAGAGAGAGAGAGGAGGGAGAGATAAAGAGAGACAAACCAAGCAAGTAACCGACCAAAGACCAAAGAACCGGGGCGTAAGAGAAATAGCGAAATGGAACAAATACCAAAAAAGGGCACACATCACTTAAGAAACAACATCCTCACACTCAATCACATGCATACAAACAGAGAGAGAGAGAAAGATAGAGAGAAGCACAAAGCAATTCGCACAGAGAAATGAGATGAAAATAATAGAGCGAACGAAGACGAGTCGAGAAAAAAGATAGTTGCTTTTGTTCTACACCGATCGTCGTCATTCGTTTTGCATTTTATTTGTATGTTCATTTCCACAGAGATCAAACACTTTATACACCACCGCATACATTTGCTGCATAATTTTTTTACTATTGTTGTGTGTAAGAGCAAATGAGAGAGCAAGCGATAGAGAGAAAGTGAGAAGAACAAATTCTCATTTCGCGTTTATTCCGACAAATACTTTCTGCACATTTGCAGCAACGCCAAGCGAATAAACGAATGCCATTTGGGTACACTTTTCCGAATAAAGCGCGATACACACACAGATAGATACACATACACATACACATATGTGCTGGTGCAAGTCTCTCACGAACAACCAAAATGAATGAACGAAAAGGAAGAATGGAAAGAGAAAAGAAGAAGGTGGCAAGCTTGAATGAGAAAGCAAGAACGAAATGGTAGAAAAACTGAAACAAACACACAAATAGAACCTCTATGGTTTGGAACTTACTTGAATCTGATGTAGCTGGGGCATGCCCAGGATATGGCAATTCTCCAGTGACATCCAACTAGTTAACATATTTTTCATTTTATCTCTCGGTCTCTCTCAGTGTGTGTGTGTGTGTGTGTGTGTGTGTCTTGTTTCTTTCATTGCTTCTGTATTATGAAATGCAAAGCTGCAAGATATACGACGATATGTACGAAATTAAGAAGCGTATCGTCAAGGTAGTTGAAAGCTAACGCAATACCAATAGAAACAAGAAATTAGAAGAAAAACTTTCGAAATAGAATTCATGAAAATATTTGTGATGAAGCGCTCTTTTTTTCTCGATTTTTTTTTTCTTCATATTTTTCCGTTTTTTCTATATTCTCCTTCTTCAATTGGAACTAATGCCAATTCAAGTCCATTTAAACGCGACCAATGGCCGAAATGTGACACATTGACCTTTTGGGAATTTGACGACGAATGACGTCAACAATCATATCAAATTATTTTCATTTTAGAGAAAATGCTTATGGACCTCCCCAAATGGTGAGGTGATGACTAGCATCAAATGCATTCGATATTAACTTCACCATTTTTTTTCCATCGTTCAATTTAGTTTGACTGATTAAAGAAAATCGTCCGACAATGATCATTACGGATTCAACGTCATATCATATTGCATACATTTTGGTTTGATACACACATCGTCAAAAAACACATATGCCATGCCATGCAATACAGTTCATCTAGCGTTTGCCTTCTAGGGGCGGTGGTTTTCATAACTTGTCCCAGTCAAATTCAACGAACTGGACTGTCTGAAACCATTTAGTATGTCGTGATGATTTTACTGGTGACTCTCTCTCTCTCTCTCATCCACCGGTTTCATCATCTGGACTACACTAGATATTATGATGCATAATTGATCACATTGCCTTGTTGAGTCGCAATTTTACTGTTGATAATTCTATGTCGTATTTTTGGTGAATATAATTTAGTATCCACAATTTTGGGAGCGAAAGACAAACGAAAAGTAAAAAAAACGCGGCGAAAAGGCAAAGTAAACAGAACGTGATATTTGTCGCTCGATACATTCGGAATCGTGTGATTTCGTGCAATGGGGCATCGATGTCAATGAGTCAAAAGCACTTTAAGATTTCACCAGAATGCATACCATCTAAACATTGCATGGTTAATAGAATTTTCCCTCCACTTCCTTTTTTGTTCGGTTCAATGCTTTCCATCGAACAATTTTCCACGTCAATTTAATGGCAGAATATTTAACCAGCGAAAGAAAAAAAAACGTTATGTAGCGACATCGAAACGGGTACGTTCGCAACGAATTATCAAAATGTCATTTATTTTTAGCTGCGAATAGCTTAGCGTTGGACAGTTATTTTAAGTACTCAAAGAAGAGAGTGAGAGAGTTAGATTGTAGGAGAGTAAAAGAGAAAGAATGTATGCTGATTTGTGACATGTGATGCACTAACTGCAAAACTAGCGTAAATGTCAACAAGATTCGGTCTTTCAATCGTCAAAAGGTTACAATTTTGTACGCTTGCAACGAGAGAAATGATTCATTTCGTCGGATTTTTTTTTCTATTTGCCCAACGAATTGATTTTCATTTTGTTATTTCAATTCAACGCTCTTTCTATCTCTGCGTTTTTTTTTCAATTGCACGATCTAAGCATTGTATTGAAATCTGAACATGCCAAATCAATATTTCAGTCCATGGATTTCGAAAGCGTTTTCATTTATGTACGGATGCTGCCCCAATTTATAGTTTAAATAAATTTTGGAAAAGCTTTTTAAATTGAATAATTTTTGTGTATTTCCAGATCGACTACGAAGTGCATATGAGACAACGCTTGAGAATCCAGCTGCAGTGCACACATAAAATTCGGGGATTAAAATTATTGTCAAGTGTATTTAACGTCGGATAAAGAGAGAGAGAGAGAGAGGAAAAAAAAACATAGGGAAAAGAACAAACAAACAAAACATTCAAAATGTTAATGTTGAACACATTGAAAATAGTGCTAATTGCATTGAACATTCTACCATATCGTGTAACCCACAGAAAAGTGTTATTTTTAGCTTATTTGATCACATTAGTTTCACATGGTAAGTAAAATTTTCTCTCCGTCTATAACCCGTACACAGCAAAGCTCTGAACTTTGCATTTGATGTGTCATATTTAGCGATTAAGTATATTTTTTCTTTCAAGGTGCTGTTTACAATGCAAATAATCGTATATCGAGTTGTTAAAAAGTCATTAACATCCACATGAACGAGAAAAAGATAAATGCGTTTCGCTCGATATGTTACAATCTCATAAAATGCCAAAGAGGAGTTAGATATTTGCAAAACCAGAGATATATGTTTATTCTCTTTTTTTGGGGTCGATGTGTTATAACATGCAGTTTTAATCTGATGTCATTAATGTGCTTTCAAGTGTTGTCGCTTGAATTGTAGAATATTTGGAGAGACATGGAAAAGCATAGTATGTTATATGTATGTTGTGGCAAGGGGTGTAAGTGTAAAAGCAGGTGGTACAGTGAAAAGAGGTAGCACAGCCATACCCCGAATATCAAACTGATACAGCAATATGATTTAGCACTTTGAAAGGGGAATCGTACAAATTAGTACACGGCCAATGTTTGATTAAACTCAACGAACGCGCGAAGAGTTCATGTGTATGTGTATGTATTTGTGTGTGTGTGTGTGTCTGTGGATTTTTAATATCAAAACTTTGTTTGATGGCGCATGCTGCATGCACGCTGATGGTGTTCACGCCAAGTGATAATTAAAGCCACAGGTGAATTTTAAAATGGTTTCATTCGTCGGTTTCAATTGTTTTGATTCGGTTTTTCTTCGTATTAATTTTCTTGATAAAATGTGCGTGCACAAGGATTTCAGTGTAGTAAACAGTTACATGTTGAACATGAAAGTAATCTAGTAATTAAAATAAAGCCATCAAACGAATGGGGTTTCCACGAAATATTCAACCAGAATTGGTTTTATTGAGCATAAAAAGTGGGTCCTCAAACAACACAAACATGTACAACATACACATACACATCATTTGTTTGGTGTTTCGATGGCAAACATTTATCAATTAAATGCAGTTGCTGATGTACGAACGCGAAATTTAGAGAGAGAGAGAGAGAGACAGCGAGAGAGAGAGGAATAGAGAGACTCCACAGTACACATTTTACCACTCAATTACATATTTGATTGATTTGCTTTTGATGGCCCTTGATCAATGTCTAAACAGGGCACTTTGCGGCTGGCACACCTGTTCTCGTCCGGTGTGTCTCCTCTTCGACTAATGGCAACTTTGTCAACAAACTAAACGCACTATCGCGCTCATTCATTTTTCATGCTGTGTATCATGTGTGTGTGTGCCGGCGGCACACAACAACAGCGCTACTTGTACGCACATATGTGCACTGCAACACATACACATTATCAAATGTCATTTCCACTATTTCTCGATACATGAAGGAATGGAACAAAAAAAAACGTATGCGTTCCATTTACAATATTGTTGACATCAAATATTCATGTCATTGACATGATGGCACCATTTCAATTCCATACGAAATGCACGCAAATCCACTGGTCGCACCAGCCAACCAAGACGCTTTCACCATATCCATTTGAAAACTAAATCCATAAATCTATATAGAAAAGTTGCTTTAAATACATGAATCAAATACGTCGTAGTCTATTTCACTCACATCAAATAGTTAACATTTTGGTTGGAACATTTTTAAATACGGTGTGAATAGTTCATTCAGTGGTTGAAGTGCAATTTTACACTGATTTCAACAGTGAATAGTGTTTGTACGCGCAGCGCAATAGTAAAGGTGACATACGAAACACACATTGGCAGTTGATAAATAAGTAATAAGCATACTTGTTTATCCTAATGGCAAAACAAAAGTGACGTCAAACGACGACATCAACCAATTTAATGTACATATAGTGTAACCCTCATTGCTATTTGGCTTAATTTCTATTGAAAATGAATGCAGAAACGTTTCCACCTTCGATGGCATGTATCTCTTTTTCAACCCTTTTTCCACATAAATTCGCCCCAAATTCTAAGCAGACGACGTAGATATCTGTCGAGTGAAGAGTGAAAAGCGAACTCAAATTCCATAGTTTAAAATCCGTCTCTTATGGTAAAACTCACGTTAGAGAGCTAGAGATACACATTATGAGAACATATACCGGATTAAATACAATTCTTTTGTAATTTCAACAGCTCTGGGGATAGATTTGCAGTCTATCGTTAATTCATACGCTGAAAATGAGCGGCATTTCATGGTGGTATAGGCATTCAGAATGGTGACACCATTTAAATCAATTTTTTAACACAGTCTTTAGCATGCAGCAGATCGTATAAAAACTGATGCGCTTTCTCTCTAACCCTCTTTACCTCCATTCCTGTCTCTTTTCCATCTCAACAAAAAAAAAGAGCAATGTTTGTTGACTGTGATCCCTGGTCGCCTCACGCACATACAGACAAATGAGCAAAGCATCATACATAATGTATGATATCCATCCGTCCATAAAGTGAACTTTTCCTTCCACACTTTCATATATTTTACATTTTGATGCTGATACGAAATGCGGATTAGCGCGACTGGCTTTTTTTGTTGTTGCTACCACTGTTGGCGCTGCTGTTGATGTGATTCTTTCGCTTTATCACGATGCTCATTCTGATTATTGTCACTCAGTTTGAAATGTACGCGCGTTCGATGCGTCTATTTATATGACCAAAAACAATGAACGAAAATGAACACAAAACACCAAATAAAAAGCATCGAAACCCGATGGGAAATAATTCCTACCACCAAAGAAACCGAACACACACACACACAACAAAATAAGAGAGAGAGAGAGAGAGAGAGAGAGAGAGAGAGAGAGAGAGAGCAGATAAAAAGATTTCCAGTTAAATAAGAATGAAAACCGCTTTAATGCGCAACGAACCATTGTTGTCGCCCTCAGAATTGGAATGAAATCGGTAGTCTCAGATCATTTATACTTACATTTATACATTGAAAGTCTCATACATGCATAATTTTTTGTTTTGATATGACGCTGGCATTGGATGTGTGTGTGTGTGTGTGTGTGACGGTGAAACCAAGCGTCCCAATGATACTCACTTGGTTTCACCACGCATTATGTGTGTGTGATCATGAGTCGGAATTGAAACGGCGGTGACTGTTACACACACCATCACCATCACCATCAACACGCAGAACTTTAGTCAACATTCCCATGAATAATTTTGCCTAATGTAATTTTGGCAAACAATTCCAAGACAACACATACAAACGGATTGGATTTTACATATTATTGCTTTTACCACATTTTTTTCGACTTCTTTCTCACTTTGTCACCCAAGAGAATGGGCATTTGGTGTGAGTTTGTGTGTGTGTGTATGTGTATGTTTGGTGTCTGCCCGTGTGCATTTGAGGCAAATTTACTGCAAATAAACGTGAACGTCATGAATCACAAATGCGCATAGGCGCGTGTGTAAAAAATGAGTAAAGTTGTCGTAAAATCGAATTTTATGCGGGCAAAGGTTATGGCTATGTACTCTGTGTATATGCATATTCTCGCGTAATTTGCATCGTCATCTGAAGAGCGACCGTGTGTGGCGCAGTGCGAACGCCTAAAAAGCACACAAACTCATATACACAGTCGAAGACTTAATATTTTATTTGCCTTCTGCTCTTCTAGTTAAATGGCACAGCATAAACTGTTGGGTTCAACAAAAGTTGCATGCCAGAATGATCTTTTAATTAAGTTAAACGAAGAAGAAGAAAAAACGTATCGTATGCGAACGGAAGATAATTTACGCCACAATCTTCTAAAATATATAATGGATTCTGCCGTTCGTCATTTGTCGACCATTTCACACTTATTAACATAGACGACTCACTTTTGATTTTACCAAAGACACGAGACCGAAGCGTGGTGCGTTTTTTCGTTCAATGCTTTTTTCGTGTTCGAGAGAGAGAGAGTGCGAGAACCGAGTTTCCAATACCAAACCGAAGTGAAACTTTTTTTTCCTCTTGTCTCTTCTGGAATCGGGCACACTGTCGCTCGCTTTTGTTTACTGCGAAAAATTGTCGCAACAATAACAGTAGTAAAAAAAAATCTCTAGGGTGTGCGGAAGTGTGCCTATTTTATTTATTTTTGTGATTGTACAAGATTTCGTTAAACTTTTTTTCTGTGTCGTCTTCTGCTTCTTCTTCTGTTTCTGTTCTTGTCGTGAGTAGAGAGAGAAAGAGAGAGCAGAAGAAAAAAAAACACTTTATTGTTTTGTTCACTTGATTCGTTTCCATTTCTTCCATCGCTATCATCTTCATCATCATTACTTTTATTATCCATTCTCTTCGTGGAAACAATAATATCGACAACTGTGAAATATTAAATTTCTTCTGGCCAATTTAAAATTAAAACACCGAGGAGAAAAAAAAGGAATGAAGCCAAACAACCGAATGGACGTCGACATCACAATAAGAATGGCAATTTAACAATACCAAATTGAAATCCCTTTTTTCCCTCTTCACTTTTAATTCGAGCAAGCGTGCGCGCGTCTAGAATGATGACCGAGCCAAAAGAAAGAAGAAAAAAAAACAACAAAAAGTGGAAAGACGGCAGAGGGGACGCACATAAAATTTCTTAAAAATGGTCGCAACTTTTTTTTCCTTTTCTGCCATTTGAATCCATACATTCAGTCATGTCTGTTGGTTAGTAGCCGACATTTGTTTAATCATAGTTATTTTTATTCGGTCTTTTTTTCTCTCTCTATGTTGCTCATTTGGACTGGCTTTGCCGAAGCATCAACCAAAGTTTACGTTCACGAGGTGTCAGTGAAATTAATGAAATGAATTGCTTAGGAAGTTTTCGTTTGAAAGAAAGAGAGAAGCGAGCTGAGCATACGGGATTGCAATCAAATGCCTTATCCTTGAATAATTAAATATTTTATGCCGAAATTATTTCCCTTGAGGCTATTATGTCTGGAGTAAATCTGCTTTCTTTTGCCTATTTATGTGTGCATATATCGACCGACCGCTTTGGCCAGTACACGCGCGCGCACA